GGCGTGAGATTAGCATCATACCTGAAAGCTTTGATTGAGCTGAATGCATCATTGTTGCCAGCAAGCTTTGAAGTCATATAAGGTCCAACAATTTCCACCTGTTTGTCCCATTTGGCACCCTCACAAGAGTCGTCCAAGCACAATACCACTCTAACATTCTTTCCAATTTTGAAAGAAGTGATTTTGTTGTCGAGCTTAAAGTTTTTTAAGACGTAGGCTTTGTCTTGTGGGCTTACCTAAAGCTAGATTCCTTAGAAGTTATCCTTTTCGTAGAACACAGCTACATTATCGCTGCACTGATCGCATGCCGCTTTACTTATACCTGTTGATAAGGCCAGTTGTATTCTTGAGTGCTGCTAAATCATCGTCTATTGACTTATGGATGACAGTAAGAGATGAAAGTAAAGCAGTAGCGCATCTCATTTCGAATTTCACTGAGCTACGCATGAACCTCTGCATTCTGTATCTGAGCAAGATCCAAGGGGACATTTTGGAGGTGTCAGATAGTCTGAGCCATATTTGCATACATAGTCTTCAGAATCATAAGACAGCAAGACCTTATCTCCCTTAGTTCCTCTTAGTCTCCATTACCACAATGAGCTCTACCTTCCACTTGCTTAATCGCATTCCACAGTGCTTTGTGTAGTTCTTGAGGTACCTAGAGAACTTGTGATTTCTGAGGCCATTGATGCAGAAGCAGAGGCGGTAACTGTGATCTCTGCACCGCTACCTAAAAAGCTGACTCCAGATGAAGCAGCAGCCTCGAGAGAGGCTCCAAAAGTTTTGGATTTAGTTTCAGAAGTTTCTTGTGTAATACCGATTGTTAGTTAGGAAGAAATTTTTCCATTTGAAGTTGAAAATCTTTTAACCCATTCTCCTCTAAGTTTATCGACTTCTCCTGCTGCTTTCAAAAAGTCGGCAGCTCTTTTTATCACCATGCTCTCAATGTTATCATTCCATTTTTTCAGTTGGCTTCCTTCAAAAGAGATCTCTTTCGGGCCTTCGAGCACCAGGGATTCTCCTGTTTGATAGTTGTTGTTATAAATGGTAACAACTACGTTTGCAGGAATTACCATACTTCCAATTGAGTTTTTATTGATGAAGTGATTTGTTAAATCCACAGTATTATAAATACCACATGGGAATGCTCCACCCTCATCAACTTCAAAATTAACATCAGAGAAGACCTAGACCAGAGGCGTGAGATTAGCATCATACCTGAAAGCTTTGATTGAGCTGAATGCATCATTGT